CTTCTCCGACCACTCCGGTCATCTCCGACTCGGTGGACCTTGTGAGCTAGAGCGAGCAACGCCCACCCGGTACTCCGTATTCCGCGCCACCAGTGCTGTGTACGGATGTCAGGTGCGCCCCACTTACCCCGACGCTCCGTCGTCGTACCCCGGTAGTCGTGCCGCGGAACTCCGCTCCGGAGTTCAGGACTTAACAGTATAATTTGTCTCCACTCGTTCGCTCCCTCACTTCGTTTCGCCCTTTTTCATTCAAACTCCCTTCATGGCTACTACTACAGTAACCGAGCCAGCTCAAGCTCGTAGGACTCGCAATTCGACTATTTTTCGACCTACCAATTCCGAAATCGACCCCACAGCGGACCCTTCTCCGAGAAGACGCCGCACTTTCGACACTAGCGCCTTCGCACCTGGTGATCTATTCACTCCAGACGCCAGGCGTGACTTGTTCGCTCCCGTTGGTCGTGCAGACTCTTACAACCCCCTCGCGAATCCCTTGCCCGGCATAACCCGTCGTAATGCTCAACCGCAGCCCGGAAACCAATCCCGACCGATTAGCATCGCCTCAACACCCAGAACCCCACAGCGCAGACCTCAATCTCCAGGAGGTAACGAAGGTGGTGGTGGTGGTGGCGATGGCGGCGGTGATGGAGGCGGTGATGGTGGCGACGATGGCGGTGATGATGGCGGTGATGATGGCGGCGGTGGGGGTGATGACGACAACAATGGAGGCGGCGATGACAATCAGCGGCCTCCAACTCCCCCGGAGGACGAGGAAGATCTCCGTCTCCTCCGATTGGTCCGAGCCCTTGGAACTTCCCTCGGCGACATCCTCGGACCCGCTCTCACTCGACTAATCGAAAATCAAGACCATCGTGAACCAGTTAATAGGACAAACGAGAGTTCTACCAAAATTAAGGATCCAACACCTTTCGACGGAACCAATGCAGCTAAGATCAGGATTTTCGTCGATGAGTGCCAGGTCGCCTTCCGCGCTCGTCCGCGGACTTACGCGGATGACCGGGCCAAAATCAACTTCGCACTTCAGTATCTATCCGGTGCAGCCCTAGCACTCTTCTCGCCATATCTCAAACTTCAGGAAGCCGAGCTTCCTTTAGCTCTCGTTAACTGGGACGACTTCGTTCAAGCCCTCAAGAATAACTTCGGATACGCCAACGCCGAACTCCAGGCGCAGTCCAAGCTCACCTCTCTCAAGATGGAAGAGAAGCACAAGGCTTCGCGCTATATTATCGACTTCACCCGTCTTGCGGAAGACACGGGATGGGGTGACTCCTCTCTTCGGTACCATTTCTACATCAACCTCCCGAGCCGACTAAAGGACGACCTTTCCCGCATGGAACGCCGACCGCAAACCCTCGCCGAACTCCGAACGGCGGTCCGAAATTTCGACGCCCGTTATTGGGAACGCCAGGAGGAAATCCGGCGCGAATCCAAGGGCAAGACTTCCAATTCGAACGCCAACTCGAACAACGACAATTCCAACAACTCTTCTTCAAACAATTCCGGAGGAAAGAAGAAGAAGAAAGGCAACAACAACAACTCGAATTCAAATTCCACCTCGAACACGTCGAATTCAGCCAACGCCGGTAACGCTTCGGGTGGCAATTCCGGAAGCAACTCCGGTGGTAACTCCGGCAAGGCCAAAAACAAGCCCGATATCTCCAAGCACCTCCAAGAGAACGGCAAGCTCAAGGCCGACGAACGACAGAGACGTATTGCCAACAACCTCTGTCTCTTCTGTGGCGGCAAGGACCACAAACGGGCCGATTGCCCCGTCCTCAAGGCCAAGGAGGCTAAAGCCCGCGCGGCCGCAGTCTCCGCTTCGGGCTCCGGTACTCCGACATCGAGCCCCGAGGCAAAAAACTAGTCTGTGGTCAGTTGACCGTGCCGACTGACTGTAGCGACTCCAGCATGTTCGGCATATACGCGCCAGCCAAGCAATCAGCAAAGCTCTGCGCTGTCAGTACTTTTTCCGATTCATTTCTCATCGATCTATATTACTCCGATTCCGAAATTCTCCGAACTCTCTTGGATTGTGGCGCTTCCGATTGTTTTATTAACTCCGACTGCGTATCTCATTATAATCTTTTGAAGAAACCCTTACCCAACCCGATTTCCTTAACCCTCTTTAATGGTTCTCGTGCTCCGATAATTACCCACTACGTGGAACTCCGACTCCGCTTTCCTTGCGGACGGACGATGCCCATCGTCTTCCTGGTCACCAAACTCGATCCAACTGCTTCGCTAGTATTAGGACTAAACTGGTTACGACAATACAACCCCATCGTTGACTGGTCGACTAACCAAATCCAATTCCGAACTAGTGCTGTGGCTGGTACTCAGCCTAGCGTCCCTCCGGCGCCGACGGCTACCCCGCGCACTCCACCGATTGCTCCATCTCCGGACCTTCGGCCGACTTCCAGTCACCCCGACCAGACCTCGCTTCGAGCTGCTGCTGCTAGAATTGATGTTCGCTTCATCGGCGGCGCAGCATTCTCTCTCGTATCACGGCAATCCGTGTTCACTTCTGCCCTCCACTTCCGGGACTCCGCGGCTTTGGCGGAAGCTCGTCTCCGCGCTGCTTCCACAGCCGACGATCAAGAAGAGTATGACCATCTTCGGAAGGTCATCCCGGTGGGATACCATGACTTCCTTGATGTCTTTAGCAAGAAGAAGTCCGATGTACTCCCCGAACACACTCGTTTTGACCACAAAATCGAGTTGGAGGATGGAACAACCCCGCCTTTCGGACCTATCTATTCTCTTTCGGAGGTAGAACAGGTCGCTCTTAAGGAGTACCTCTCCGAGAACCTCGCCCGGAATTTCATCCGGCAATCCCAATCTCCGTGCGGAGCCCCGATCTTATTCGCCAAGAAAAAGAACGGTGGTCTTCGCCTCTGTGTAGACTATCGTGGCCTCAACAAAATCACCAAGAAGGACCGATACCCTCTTCCTCTAATACCCAATCTCATCGACCGCCTCCGGACGGCCCGGATGTTCACGAAAATGGATCTCCGCGGCGCCTACAATCTCATCCGGATCGCGGAAGGAGAGGAATGGAAGACCGCCTTCCGGACTCGTTTCGGCTCTTTCGAATATCAAGTCATGCCTATGGGCCTGTGCAATGCTCCCGCCACTTTCCAACGTTTCATGAATGAAATTTTTTCCGATATGCTCGACGTCTCCGTAATCGTATACTTGGACGACATTTTAATTTTCTCCGAAAACCCGGAGGACCATCCCGCCGTCGTGCGAGAGGTCCTTACCCGTCTCAAGAATAATCGCCTTTTTGTCGCTCCCGAGAAATGCTCTTTCTCGACAAACTCGGTAGAGTTTCTCGGCTTCATTTGTACCGACGACGGTGTCAAAATGGACGAAACCAAAGTCAAAGCCATCTCCGATTGGCCGCGACCTAACTCCGTAAAGGAAATCCAGTCCTTCCTCGGTTTCGCAAACTTCTATCGGCGTTTTATCCATAACTACTCCGAAATCACAGTACCGCTCACCCGGCTCACCCGGAAGCACACGGAGTTTGTGTGGACCAACCAACAGCAAGTCGCGTTCGAGACCCTCAAGAAAGCTTTCGTCTCGGCTCCGGTTCTCACTCACTTTCAGCCAGGCAAGCAGCTGATCGTGGAAACCGACGCCTCGGACTACGCAATCGCCGGTATTATTTCCATTGTCACCTCCGATCCCGGATCTCCGGATCACCCGGACATTCATCCTATCGCTTTTCACTCCCGAACCCTTTCCGCAACCGAACGTAACTACGATACCCACGACAAGGAGCTACTCGCAATCTTTGAATGCTTCACCATATGGCGACATTACTTAGAAGGCGCAGAACTCCCCATCGACGTAGTTACTGACCATAATAACCTCACCTATTTTTCAACGACAAAGATGCTCACCCGGCGTCAAGCCCGGTGGTCCGAGTACCTTTGTACCTTCAATCTCCTGATCCGCTTCCGTCCCGGCCGCTTAGGTGGCAAACCCGATGCGCTTACACGCCGTTCCGACGTGTATCCAAAAAGGGGGGATAGTGGCTACGCCAGCGTGAACCCGCAAAACTTTCGACCAATCTTTGGCTCCGAGCAACTCCAAGCCTCACTCCGAGCCACCGCACTTTACCCCGCCGCGCTCCGCGCCGTCACTCTCATGGACTTTGAGTCCCTCCGCTCCGATATCATCTCCGGTCTCAAAACCGATTCCTTCGCCCAATCCATTCTATCTCAATTGCCTTCCAATCCACATCCCAAATGGTCATTATCTGAAAGTGGTCTTCTGTATCACTTAGGTCGTGTCTATGTCCCGGACTCCGGTGACCTCCGCCTCCGCGTCCTCAGCACCTATCATGATCACCCGATCTCCGGACACTACGGACAAAACAAGACATACTCTCTCATCAAACGCGAATACTACTGGCCAGAACTCCGAACGGACACCAACTCTTATATTCGTTCATGTGTCTCTTGCAAACGCAACAAACCGCAAAGACACAAGCCATACGGTCTCCTCCGGCCACTTCCGGTCCTGGAACGCCCGTGGCACTCGATCTCAATGGACTTCATCGAAGAGTTGCCCGCCTCCGGAGAATTCAACTCCATCCTGGTCGTAGTCGACCGCCTCTCCAAACAATCCATATTCATCCCTACCACTACTCGAGCGGACTCTCAGGAGCTCGCTAGACTTTTCGTCAAACACGTATTCTCTAAACACGGAGTTCCGTCGCACGTCACCTCCGACCGCGGCTCCGAATTCACTTCCCGCTTTTTCACTACCCTCGGCAAATTACTCAATATGAAGCTACACCCGACTAC